AAGTCTGACAAACGTACGTGTGTGTGTATATGTGTATGTATGTATATATATATGAATGGTGACTGTTACCCTGGAACTTAGTAATGATTAAATTTAAAACTAGGATCTGGTTGGAGATTATTTCTGACACCAGAAGAGCAGGTCCCGACACTGTATCTGTCACCAGTGGATAATAGCCCAATGAAAACAACTCAAGTATGAATTTAACAAATCTATTAAAAGAATTTGGAACAATACACAGTATATAACCATACAAAACAGTAAAAACACCAGTACACCAGTTAGAAATCCAACCCCATACCTTCAAAATAGAAGAAAAGAAGATAGGAAAGTTCCCCTAACAAACGGGTAAGTTTATAGTCTCTGGCCAAGATGTAAATACAGCAGGTGAAGAGACCTAGGACCTCTTCCCAGTAGCTGCAAGCAGCCAAGGGGAGGAACTTGGGCTGTGTCTACATTGCAGGCTTTTTGTGCAAGAAACACTTATTGTACAAAAACTTGCCTGGTGTCTACACTGCATGTGTGTTCTTGTGCAAGTAAATTTACAGTACAGCGTCAGAAAAGGGCTTGTTCCGGAAGAGTTATTACTCTCCCCATGAGGAATAAGCCCTCTTGCATAAGAGTTCTTCCATAAGACGGCAGTGTGGCCAGGCAACATGCTTTTCTTGTGCAAGAAACCCCTATGGCTAAAATGGCCATTAGAGCTTTCTTGCGCAAGAGAGCGTCCACACTGTCATGGACGCTCTTGTGCAAAAGCATATGGCAGTGTGGACTCGATCTTGTGGAAGACCTTTTGCACAAGAACTCTTGCACAAAACAGTTCTTGCTCAAGAAGCCTGCAGTGTAGACATAGCCTAATGTTTGTCCCACAGCAGATGTTCCTTGATGTTGAAGGTGGGTGAGAGAGGATGACGCTGTCCAGAATAGAACTGGGTCTTCACCACAGGTCTGGAGTCAGAGTGGCTCTTCAAGTGGTGGGGGAAGTCAACGGACCCCAATGTAGTGTCTCCCCAATACCATGCCTAAGCCTGTGCTAGTATGGAGAAAGCACTCTTGGTGGTCTGGAGGCTCCACAGCACCACAACTCTCTGGTCTGGAGTACCTCAAGCTTGAACCCCTGGGCTTTGCCACAAGGCATGTGAGGGAACCAGCAGCAGCAGTACGGATGTCTTGAGTCACTGGACAAACGGGCACCCGCCCCCACCCTTGAGTAAGTGGTAGTTTTATGTCTTTTGTGGTGGGAAAATGAAGTAAGGGTGCTGACTGCACTGTCCCTGTGCCATGTGTGAAGAGTTCAGGAATGTGTGCAGCATAGTGAACATCTGAGGTAAATGATGTTTTTGGCAGGAAAAGCCAGTTAGAACTAGTTCTTGGTTACCTCCACTGAGGTGCACAGTCCAAAATGGAGTTCAGGATACTTAAAATAGAGTCCAGCACATTAAAATGGTGTCCAACATGATGATTCCTTACAGTGATTGATGTTTTTATTCCCAAAGTTAAGAAAACTTTGCTTGCAATTAGATGCCTTCTGCATGTCTAGTGTTTAGGCTGCATACAGTGGGAAAAATGTTCTGTGTTTTAAAAAGACATTTTGCAAGAAGGATATGGCTGAGCAGAGAGAAGGAAGAGCCAGAGGGCAAGGACTGGATTCTGGGTGGAGCAGAGTGGGGGCCCACAAGCTGCAGAGCTTGCCTTCCCAAACAGCAGCTTCATCCATCACCCTTGCGCTCTAGTCTGGGGGTTAAGCTACTTACCTGGGTTGTAGGTGAAAGTGGTTCAAATCCCCCAGTTGCCTGTTCAACAGGGGTTTGCACTGGGATTTTCTGCCTTCTAGGGGACTGGCTTTTATGGTGGGCCACCATTGTCCAAATCCCCTCTCTTTCTCAAGAGACCATTTTCTTGGGATGGGGAGTCAGACAAGGATTGCTTGCTCACTAGTGACTCTCCCTAGGAGGTGGTGCCAGTTCACACCCCTCAAAAGAGTAGGGCAGTGCCCTAAGGGTCTGCCACACCCTGGGCCTGCATCCTGATCATGGGGGACAAGAATGAAGGGGGAGGGAGCTTACTGCTTAACAGTAATTCTGCTTTAGTTAAAAGAGCAAGAGGGGCTGCTGTCACACACCAGAGGGCCTATTCTACCTGGCAGAGCAGGGATTTGATCTAGGGACTCATACCCCAGGTGAGTACCCTAATCCCCCATACCCCAGAGGGCTTTGGAAGTTTCCTATGCCGTGATTATTATATAAAGTGGAACACTTAAGTTGATAGAGCAAACTGCCACTCATTTCTCAATTATGGATATTAAATTGTGAGTAACTGACTAATTGAATAGTTGATGCATTTTGCATCAACTAGTCAATAGGGCATCTCCGCCTTTGAAGTGTAAAAACAGCCTTAGGGCTGTTGCTATACTTTAAAGGAAAAAGCACCAAGTGGAACCCGGGATCAGCTAGGGACTCCCTGCTGACCCCAGACTCTGAGTGGCGCTGCCGCTTTGAAATATCACCACAGGAACCTGGAGTCAGGCTCCTCATGGCATTTAAAAGTGGCAGTGCCGCATAGAGCCTGAGGTGAGCTGGGGAGTTCTCAGCTGATCCCAGGCTTTGTGCAGCACTGCCGCATTGAAATGCCACCGCAGGAGCCTGGAGTCAGGCTCCTTGTGGCGTTTCAAACCAGCAGTGCTGCATGGAGCCCGGAGTCAGCAGGGAGTCCCCCAGTTGATCCTGGGCTCCACATGGTGCTGCCACTTTGAAATGCCATGAGGAGCCTCATGCTGGGCTCCTGTGGTGGCATTTCAAAGTGGCAGCACTGTGTGGAGTTTGGGGTCTGGCCCCAGGCTCCACGTGGTGCTGCCTCTTTGAAGTACCCCCCTTATCGGATAGTCTCCTTCACATCCCTATTCTCAACAAGCAGAAAGGGGATTTGAACCAGCACCTCTGTGCCAGGTACCCAAAGCACAGGAATATAGAAAGAGGCACAAGGATTAAGTAGCCCAATTCTCCTTTCATATTTGCTGAAGGTGGACTATCCATCAACAGAAGTCTGAAGGAGCTCTATTTACTAGGCCAGCATTTCATTTGCGAAGTAAGTAACATTCAAATATCTTCTATGGGAACATAAAGGGGATTTGAACCAGCACTTGCACTGTTTAAGGGGGAAAGCACGTAAACCTCTGGACTACAGGGAGACTCATTAGGTGCTTGTGGCTCAATGACCATCCTCAAGAGGAAACAGAGTACATCTATATAGCAGCGTTATTTCAGAATAACTGATATTTTCAAATAAAATGCGCATTTATTCAGTAAGCCATTGTTTTGAAATAACATCAAGATGGAGGACTTCTCCTGTAGCCCTCATTTTATGAGTAAGGGAAGTCAAAGGAAGAGTGTTCTTTCTTCGACTTCCTACTGTATAGACAGCTCCAAAAGCTGAATTAAGCTATTCCCTTCTCATCCTCTGCATGAGAGTAATGTATAAAAGGCACTTTTATTCCAGTATATTATTTTGATTTAAAAAAAATCGTAATGGAAATAGTTACACTGCCATCAGATCTGTGCAGACCATGCCTAAAACTACTGCCCACCAGACAAAGCAATTATTGCATTATAGACCATGTTAACTGACTGATCACGTGTTTGCAGATATCCATTAATCCTTTCATTTAATCAGATTTAGTGAGAATTAAAGGTAAACAAAATCAAATGCAACTCAGACATGCATATAAAAATTTATTGGTTAAATACAAATTTAATTTATACTGGTACCATAATGCTGGAGACAAAATTGGATTTGCAGAATGTAAAAGTATATTTTGTACTATGTTCACTGTATATAAAAATCATGGAAAAATATATTCTGTTACAAAGATTCTACTTTCACTGTTGATGATCTCACAACTCACTAACAGCCTGGAGCTTATGAAAACTACTCTATCATATTAATGAATCATAATCCCTAGCTGAATTTAAAGATACATAATCTTTCATATTATTTGCAAATGTAATTTAGGATTTTCACAGGAAATTTTCCTTTTCACTTCCCCTATCTGCTGAATTATGTCCTTGCAATCATTAGGGTAAAAGTGGACAATAATTTTTGATGGTCACTGCAAGATTTTGTTAAGTAGTCAATGATCACAGATTTTTGTATGGAGGGGGTGCAGAAGGGAGCTGAGGGTAGGGCAATGAGTGCAGGAGAGGGTGTGGAGTCAGAGGGACTTAGTGAAGAAGGGGGTGTGATCTGGGTCAGGGCTTGGTGTGCAGGCTCCAGGAGGGGGATGAGTACAAGAGAGGATTGTGGTCTGGTGGAGTGTAGAAGGGGGTACAGATTCTGGGATGTGTGACCTGGAAGTCTGGGAAGGACTTGTGACTTGGGGGAAAAGGAAAAGGGGGATTCAGGGATTTGGATGGTGACTAGGGTTACCAAATGGCTTAAAAAAAAAAAAAAACCAGACACGCGTGATCTCAGATTGGGGTGTGGGAGAGAGAACCTTACCTGTAGAAAGCAGGGCTGGCGGGGGAGGGGAGGGTGTTGGGGCAGTGGGGTTGGCTGGGGGAAGCGG